TCTTGGTTTCACATTATAACAGCTGCAGAACTAAAAGACTTGGTTCACTCCATGGGAAGACATTGTAAGGCCGTAAGTTAGGCTAAAGGTTACCCAACTAAGTATTAACTGACACGGTGATAATTTTTGTATATCTCTTTTTTCCTATGGTGATAATTTTTGTACATCTCATTTTTCTACGTGTTTCACTTTTCTTCTTTCTACTGTAACTGCTATTCTTATAGCAAATCCTTCATAAAAGTTATTGCATGACATTCTTGATTAAATTATCTTTCCATTGACATATAATTTTATGGTACTACTCCCCCCCCAAAAAAAAGTAGTGTTATTAGTTAGTTTTAGAAAATACACTTTTCCCAAAAGGTTTCCACAATTTTGGCTGCAACCCTCAGAATTCCCAATATCATTGACAGGGATTCTGAGAGTTCACCCAAAACATTTGGAGGCCACAATATTATGGAAGACTGTTTAATGATAAAGCAAAGCTCCTGAAAGGTAGAAGTGGGGAACCTAATGCTTGTCCAAATATTGTTGGATTCCACCATCTATTAGTCCCTGACAGCATCCCCAGTGGTTAGGGATCATTTCAGTCCTATATCATATATTACACAAGAGCCAGTTTCGTATAGTGGTTAAGGCAATGGTGAAATGTAAAATTTGTTACTACCGGTTCTGTGCGTGTGGCTGAATGCATACACCCATCCAGCCCTACACACAGAAAAATAGATTATGGTAATGTTCTTATTTGGGGCAAGACAAACATTCTTATTTATAAATTCAATAGCAATAGCACTTAGAATTCTATACCACTTTACAGTGCTTTTACAGCCCTCTTTAAGTGGTTTACAGAGTCAGCATATTTCCTCCAACCATCTGGGTCCTCATTTTACCCACCTTGCAAGGATGGAAGGCTGAGTCAACCTTGAGCCTGGTGGGATTTGAACTGCCAAATTGAGGGCAGCCAGCAGTTGGCAGAAGTAGCCTGCAGTACTGCACTCTAACCACTGCACCACCGAGGCTCATATATAGGCTGGGATACATTGATTAAATAAAATTCTTGCTTTGCATTGTGGACATTAAGGGACTGATTTTGTTCACTTATCAAAATCTAGAGTTCTACAAGTTGAGATTTATTTCATTTTTTTTCTTTTAATTTCTAGAGGTTGGGGTTTTCAAAAGTGTCCTCTTCTCTTCTCTTCTCTTCTCTTCTCTTCTCTTCTCTTCTCTTCTCTTCTCTTCTCTTCTCTTCTCTTCTCGTCTCATCTCATCTCATCTCATCTCATCTCATCTCATCTTATCCCTTATCTTAAAGTGAATGTTGAGTGCATCAAGTTGAGGCAACTCCTAGTTAATAGGTCATGGTAAGAAGAAGAAGACAGGAAGATGACCCAAAATGTAGAGATAAAGGAGGTTTCTGGGAGAGAAGGGTTGAAATTACTAAAACTTGGCTTTAGGAGATTGAGTATAGATTAATAGACAGCTAATATAAGGAAAGAAATTCAGGTCTAAGCAGTTTGAATATAAATTGATGGAGAAGAATGAAAAATGAAGAACATGTAGAAAAGAATGAAACTGAGGTAATTTGGCAACATTGACCAAAACAAAGGGGACTGGCTACAAATTAATGGAAAAGGAATTAAAAAGGAGTATTAAATGGAGGAGAATGTCAGCATTCCAAGTAACAACCTCTAAAGAAAAAGATTCCGAGAATATCATTTTCTCAAAGATCCATTTTATTAGAGATGTCATATTGGCACATCTGGGGAAAACCTGAATCTGAGAGTTCCGGGTTTTCCCTAGCCCAAAGAAAACCCCAAATCCAACCCGTGTACCCAATTGTCCATCACATGGTCCAATCATTACTTCATTCCAACTGGAGACTACTCCCAGTCACTCCCCTCCAGGTGCAGGGTAACATGTCCTTGACTTTCGGAGAAAGGAATGCCATTGTGGCTAATCTTCCACTGCTCCTTGAAATCCCCTCTCCCAAATTCCCAGGCACTAAATATGGCAGCCCAGAAGCCTCAAAGAAAAATGGCTTCCAAGCTGACAGAGAGTTGATGATACAGAGAGAACAAAAGGAACAGAATTTCAAAATAATAGAAGAAAGTGACGAAAGATATGAATCCACATTTCCCCCGTTAAGGAATATTAAACTTTTAACTTTAAATGTCCCATTTTCTTCTACCACCATGAAATTTCTTTTTTTCTTTAGTTCTTCAACCAAGTACCAACAAAATTCCATGTAGCTTCTTCCAACATCAGCTCAGTGCATTAATTCCAAGATCTCAGTACTGAATTGTAGAGTACTGAATATGGTCCTTCTCCCTTCCAGTACATAAATTCAAACTTCTGTGATTGAATCAATTTGGATAATTGCTCAGAGATAATGAAAGTTCTTGACGGGCTTCAGATTCACTTCCTCTCACTGTGCCTCTCCCACAGTAATAGACAGCTGTGTCCTCTGGTTTCAGGTTGTTCATTTGCAGATAGACCTGACTGAGGGAATCATCCCTGGAAATGGTGAAGCGTCCCTTGACGTTGTCTGAGTAGTAAATTGCAGTTGTACCCATTCCTGCAAGCCATTCCAGTCCTTTCCCTGGAACTTGTCTCACCCAGAACGTCCAGTAGTTCCTCATGATGAAGCCAGAGCCATGACAGGAGAGACGGAGGGACTCCGTAGGTCTTCTCAAGTCCCCTCCAGACTCCACCAACTGGACTTGAGATTTGACTCCTAAAAAGAAAGATGTTTCAATAAGATCTCCTAAATACAATAACAACAGATGGAAGGAATATAGAAAATATAGAGAGGAAAACATTACCACCAAGGGATGCAAGTAAGAGCACCAAGTTCAGCCAAAGGAACATTTTTGTTCCCTTTAAGGAATGGAGGCAATTGATAGGAGAAGATTTGGGAAAGTGCACAAAATTTGTGTTGGTGGGTGTAGGCTTAAAAGTAAAACCAACTGACTCCTTTAAAGGGGAAATTGTGCCTCAAATTTACATATTAGTTGAGATAAAAGAGTTCCTCTCAGTGAATTTACCTCATAGTTTTTTCTCACACACTCTCTACATGGGTGATTTTTAAATAACGTTCAATTCTTGAGAAAATTAAAGCATCCTTTACATTAGAACAATTAAAACAAAGAGTTGGAAAATTTCATCACTTCTCAGAATTGGTTCAAAGTAACAAATTATGGACATGCACAAAATTTTTTTGAGAAACAGACATTAGAAATAGAACACAAAGAGAATAACACATCTGAGTTTAGGAAATATTTTATCTCCCCCCACCCCCCTTTAATACAGTATTATTATTTTTTTTAATTTGATTTATATGCCGCCCTTCTCCGGAGACTCAGGGCGGCTTACAATGTGCTAAGCAATAGCCTTCATCCTTTTTGTATATTTATACAAAGTCAGCTTATTGCCCCCACAACTGGGTCCTCAATTTACCTACCTTAGAAAGGATGGAAGGCTGAGTCAACCTTGAGCCTGGCGAGATTCGAACCTGCAGTAATTGCAGGCAGCTGGTCTTAATAACAGGGTGCTTTAAACCACTGTACTACCAAGGCTCCTGGTAGTAGAAACCCAAAAGACTTGAATGCAAACTAATGCTAGAATGCTTCTCATTCAACAATTTTGTAAGTGATAATTGAATGGGAAAAAAAATCACAGGGAGAAAAGAAACATATTGAGCCTGAGGGATGTTATTGCTTATTAGATTTGGTTTTAACTCAGCACTCATATATCATTTTATATATTGCTTGTTCTTGGTTGCTATTTTCTTTGGTGTTTCTGTCAGTTTGCCCAGAGTTGATTCGCTACGATGAGCAGTGATACAAGTTGAAATAATAATAATGGCAACATGGGAGTCTGACAACCAATCAGAATACAAGCTCAAATTCAAAAGTCCAGAGAGGCCATAAAACCCAGGCACATTGGACATACAGTAATATAAATTTGGACGAATGGGAGATGATTTGGAATAGTAGCTATAAATTAACAAAAGCGGCAACATACAAAGAAAACCAATATAAAATGCTATACAGATGGCACCTAGCGCCCGCAAGATTAGCAAAAATCTATCCAAACGTAAGCCCCAAATGTTGGAAGTGTAGATGTCACCAAGGTACCTTCTTTCATATGTGGTGGTCCTGTCCCGAAGCAATGAGGTATTGGAGAAAAATTCAAAATTGGCTACAAGAATCAACCAATGAAAAAATCGAATTGATACCTGAAACATTTCTCCTGGGAATACTAAAGACGAAATATCGGGGGGGGGAGAGATATCTAATCATACATATACTCACTTCAGCAAGAATAGCTTATATCCAATATTGGAAAGGAAAAGACACACCACCAGAGGAACATATTATTCAGAAGGTTCTAGAATGTGCTGAAATGAACAAATTAACGTTAGAATTAAATGAGAAAGAAGACTCAGAATATTATATGGTGTGGGATGATTGGTACAGGTGGGTTGATAATAGAATATAGAAGAGATAAAAGTTAATATAAATCTTAAGATGCATATATAAATTACATTATATTATGATGAAAAGTAAAAGAAGAAGCAATCTAACCTGTGTAGAAAAATAACACTGTCTGACTGATTGTACTGTATTGTATTATAATAAATTTCAATTAAAAAATTAAAAAAAAAAACAACAACCAGGCACTCTCAGCATCTCTTCCCCCCTTTTTTTCTTCCCCCAAGATCTTCAAGGCATGTGATCCTGTCCACCATTAAAACCATCTTTCCAAGCAGTCTCCATGTTTCCAGTGTCTTTCTTCCCATTTGGAACTGAACCCAGATGGACATTTCTTGCACCAACATGAAGCATAAATGGAAGGAAGCAGTTAGAGAGGGAAGAATTATCTCTGGGGACTGCTCGTAAAGAGACCAGGTTTCACCCTTGAGGATCCTTCTTTCTACATCTAAAGATCCATCAGAATAGAGCTGGTGGGGACGGAGGTCTCCTTGTCCAACCTCCTCCTCAAGAAGGATTGAGGAGAGATTCAACCTAGGAGAAATTTTCTGATAGTGAGAACAATCATAGAGAATTCGTATTTCTGTCATCTCCATCCATAGTTATGAATAAACAAAGAGGGCAGGCAGTGAAGCAAGAGAGAGAAGCTGTTTCAAACATCTCAAGCTTGGCCTGCAAATGAAAAAGGAAGAAAGGGAAACAATTTTATTTCAGAGCTATAAAAAAGCATTATGAGAAAGTCCCTTGGAGAAGAAAGGTCTCCAGAGACCTATTGAGTGATCATTCGGAATCAGCAGAGGAAATCATCAAGTTAACTGATGAAACCACACTTTCATTGATGTTAAATGGAGAATGTCAGTTTGTTAGACACTGCTGCCCTCTTGTGCCAAGCAGGTAGAAGAGAGTCATCAGGCTCAGGGTCTGAAGAGACCTTCATTATATAAGTAAAAAAAATAGGGCTTGGGATAATGTTTCCAGGAGTTGTCCAGAGTTTCTAGACTGAATAGAATGAGCTCAATAGCCCCACCTCAAGCAATAAATAAAAATAATACATTATAAGCAGTTTGTCAGGCTTGGAAGCCATCTTTTTCATTTGGCCTTCAGGCCTGCCATGTTTCCTACTGTGGGAAACTGGGAGGGGGAATTGTATGGAGCCAGAGTGATATATAGTCATAATAACATTCCTTTCTCAGAGAGTCAAGGACACGTTGCCCTGCACATGTTGAGGGGTGTGACTGGGAGGCATCTCCAGTTGGGAAGGTGTTTTGATTGGACAATATGATAGACATGTGGGTGCTGAACTTTCCTTTGGGTGGGGAAAACCTGGAAGCTTTCAGATTTGGGTTTTCCCAGATGTGCCAATATGGCATCTCCAATAAAATGGAACTTTGAAGAACTTCAAGCCTCAGAGTCTTCTTTCCTTGGGGGTGTTACTTGGAACTCTGACATTAACCCAAATCTGCTTTAAAAAATTCAACCAGCTCCCCCAAGACCGGGGTGCTGTCCAGGGTCCTGAGCCCCGAACGTCGACCCGAAACTGGGTGGTGGGAAGACTCAGGGAAGATGGAGGGGCAAACTTGTTTCCTTAGAACTAGCAGATACTTATATTCTCAGGTGTAATGTGTAGTTCATCCCTGATGAAGCTGCTATAGGTGAAATAAATAGTCTATGGCCATATTACCCGATCCCGTCTGATCTCAGAAGCTAAGCAAGCTCAGGCCTAGTTAGTACTTAGATGGGAGACCGCCTGGGAATACCATATGCTGTAGGCTTAGCCCGGCTAGGTGGCTCAGTGGCTAAGATGCTGAGCTTGTCAATCAGAAAGGTAGGCAGTTTGGCGGTTTGAATCCCTAGTATAGGTCTCCTGCATGAGCAGGGGGTTGGACTAGATGACCTCCAAGGTCCCTTCCAACTCTGTTACTGTTAAGAGTTCTGTACACTGACCGATCAGCTTGCCTTCAGAAGTTGTGGGAGCTTCATCACTTGGGACTTTCAAGAAGAGATTGGACTGCTATTTGTCGGAAATGGTGTAGGGTCTCTTGCTTGAGCAGGGGGTTGGACTAGACCTATAAGGTCCCTTCCAACTCTGTTAATCTGTAAAGATCCTTTCCATTCCTACCATCTCACACGGATATTGCCCTTGTTTGAAAACCAATAAACATCTGGATACACTGAGGACGAATGAAAAAAGTTTATCTAACACTTGGCGCTTAGATAAATTTATGATGACATTACTAAATTAAGGGCCAAAGAAACATGGGTGGTGAAATGAGAGGGAGAGGGTCAGGACTGAGTAAAGATCAACCTGGATTGAGTATGAAATCGAAATGTGGGGTTCATTACATGAAAAAAAAAAGGAGAGGCTCATTCCTATAGATTGAATGGATGAAGGTTGAGGTGCAAAATGAAGACACGAAGAGAGGAGAATCCGAATTAATAAAGCTGTTGTTTTAAATTAGGCAATAAATTTGTAGAACTGCTGGGGGAAATAGGCAGTTTTTGCTTGGCTTCACATATACTTCCTCCCACTGTGTGTCTCGCACAGTAATAGACAGCCGTGTCCTCCAGTTTGAGGCTGTTCATTTGCAGATACAGCTGGCTTTTGGCATCGTCCCTGGAGATGGTGAAGCGTCCCTTGACTTTGTCAGAGTAGTAAGTGGAAGGAGATGAGCCTATACGTATGTAGGCCACCCATTCCAGGCCTTTCCCTGGAGCCTGTCTCACCCAGTGCATCCAGAAGCTGCTGAAGGTGAATCCAGAGGCTTGGCAGGAGAGACGGAGGGACTCCCCGGGTCTTCTCACATCCCCTCCGGACTCCACCAACTGGACCTCAGATTGGACACCTAGAAGAAAAGGTTGTTTAATAAGACTTTCTGCAGGTAAACACAAGAAACTGAGGAATAACTCCTCTGTTTGGAGGACAAAATAATACCTTTGAGGACAACTAACAAGAATATGAGGTTCAACCAGAGTGCCATTATTGCGTGCTAAAAAGATTGGAGGATTCTTACTGATGGGAAAACATTCAGTCAAGCACTCAACATTCGGTTTTTGAGTGCAGAAGGAGAGCAGGATGATATGGTTCCTTTGAACAGGAAGCTGTCACTGAATTTACATAGCCCTCAGGATAAAAGAGACACACGCTTCTTTGACCTTCTACATATATCTTCATCCTCCATTGTAGACATGACTGAAAATGTCCCAACATCAGTTAAAGTATATTTATTTTCATCCTTAAGAAACATGTGGAGCAATGGGTTGATTTTGTCAGAAGGAAAGTCATATCTTGAAAATTCAACGTGCTTTCTTGCTCTCTGCATGATGGAGATGCAAATCATATTTAGTGGAAATTTAGGGGATTGGAGGCTAAAACACACAAAGAACAGTTGCAGGTACTGGGCATGGCTAGTGTAGTGAAGAGAAGGACCAGGGGTGACATGATAGCAGTGAAGGCCAGACAAGAAACAATGGATGGAAACTGATCAAGGAGAGATTCAACCTAGAAATAAGGATAAATTTTCTGACAGTGAGAACAATCAACCAATAGAACCGCTTGCCTTCAGAAGTTGTGGGAGCTTAACCACTGGAAGCTTTCAAGAAGAGATGTGACTGCCATCTGTCAGAAATGATATAGGGTTTCCTGCTTGGGTGGTGGGTTTGACTAGATGACCTACAAGGTCCCTTCCACCTCTGTTACTTCTATTCTATTCTATTCTATTCTATTCTATTCTATTCTATTCTATTCTATTCTATTCTATTCTATTCTATTCTATTCTATTCTATTCTATTCAGGGGTGGGTTCTACTTACCTTTACTATCGGTTTGTAGCGGGGCTGTACGCACACACTCTTCTGCGCATGCACAGAAGCATTTTGGTGCCGTCGGGGTTGGTGGGCGGAGCCTCCCACCAGTTTTACTACCGGTTCTATAGAACTGGTGCAAACTGGGGGCAACCCATCACTGACTCCATTCCATTCCATTCCATTCCATTCCATTCCACTCCACTCCACTCCACTCCACTCCACTCCACTCTACTGTGTTTAGGAAACCATATTCCATTTCAGATAAGTCCAGTCTCTTCTTAAAGACCTCCCGTGATGAAATATTGAAAGACAGCTATCATGTCTCCCCTGGTCCTTCTCTTCACTAGAGTAGCTATGTCCAGTTCCTGCAACTGTTCATCCATATGTCAGAAGGATAATCTTAAAGTGTCATGTCCTTCCTTCTGCCATGATACTAAAGGATTCAATTCCATTCCAGTTCTGATTTCTGAAGCCAAATCGTCTTGTAAACAGAGAAAGTGAAACTGGAATTATGTTCTGGAATTCACCATTTTGCCATTTCTTCCAGTTTAACTGGACCTAGACCAAAAGAATCCTAAAGTTCTCACTACATAATAACTCATTCTTCTTGAGTAATGCAGGATCTGGGGCTGAATCAAGTTGTAGAGCTTCTCTGAAGAATGGAAGGTTCTTGTTTAGCTGTCTCTCACTGTGTCCCTCGTACAGTAATAGACTGCTGTGTCTTCTGGTTTGAGGCTGTTCATTTGCAGATACAGCTGGCTTTTGGCATTGTCCCTGGAGATGGTGAAGCACCCTTTCACTTTGTCTGAGTAGTAAATAGTACTGGAACTGTAATGTATGTATGCCATCCATTCCAGTCCTTCTCCAGGAGACTGTCTTGCCCAGTACATGGAAGAGCTTCCAAAGGTGAATCCAGAACCTTGGCAGGAGAGACGGAGTGACTCTCCAAGTCTCCTCACATCCCCTCCAGTCTCCACCAACTGGACCTCAGATTGGACACCTGAAATGGAAGGAATTTCAGTGATCTCTCCTGTATACAAGAATTAAAATGTCCAGAAGCTAAAAACTATTGGAATAAAAATAAGGCATGGTTGGAAGAAATGTCACAACAAGGCATTGATTTAAAACCAGAACTTTTCCTATTAAGTATCCTTCCAGAGAAAATTTGGAAAGAAAATATTTATTTGATTATATATGTAATAACAGCTACAAGGATTGCTTTTGCACAAAATTGGAAAGCAGAGAAAATACCTTTAGAAGGAGAAGTAATTAAAAAAATTCTAGATTGCACAGAAATGAATAGATTAACTATGATGATTAAAGAAAGAGAGGATTCAGAATATTTTAAGATATGGAATCAATTTTATCATTGGTTAGAAAAGAGTTATAGATAAATAAATTAATAGTTATGCAAAAATGGTATGACTAGAATATTGTATTTTGGAGATATGTTGTAATAGACCGGGTGATAATGAAGATAGAAGAAATTGCAAAAAGATGTTTTCATGGAGGAAACACCGAGGTGTCGCACAGAAAAAATGATTGATGTATTAAATGTTTGTCTGTGTATAAAATAAAAAAAAATAAAAATAAAGAATTAAAATGGGAAGAAGTTGAATAGAGGGGGAAAAAAATCCAATTACTTCCGAGAACGGTTAGTAAGGCAACCAATCTTAGCCACTGGATCATTTTCTCCTCCCTCTAATGAATGGATAGGAAAAAAATCTGAGAAAGTGCATATGTTTTGTGTTGTTGGGTGTGTAACCTGATGAAGGATATCATGGGGCTCTTTTAAAGGGGAAATTGTACCTCGATTTACATAAATCAAGAGTCTCTTACTGCATACATGTATATATTTATTTCAACACATCTTACACATATGATATATATTTTTTTCTCTCTGAGCTAATAGGACATGTTTACAGTAAGTAAAAGAAAGACTTGAAAAATCTCAGCACTTCTGAAAAACAATGGAAAGTAACAGAGAACAAATTTGTATCAGGTCTTATTTCATCCATTAAAGGTCATTTGGTAGAAAGCATCCCTACCAACCTCAGATATGCAGATGATACCATTCTAATTGCAGAAAGCGAAGAGGAATTAAAGAGCTTATTGATGCGGGTGAAGAACGAGAGTTCAAAAGTTGGCTTGAAACTCAACAGTAAGAAAACTAAGATCATGGCATCCGACCCTCTGAATTCCTGGCAAATAGATGAGGAAGAAATGGAGGTAGTGACAGATTTTATTTTCCTGGGCTCCAAGATCACCATAGATGGGGACTGCAGCCAAGAAATTAAAAGACAACTAGTGAGGAAAGCTATGGCAAATTTAGACAGCATACTAAAAAGCAGAGACATCACCCTGCCAACAAAAGTGTGTATAGTCAAGGCTATGGTTTTTCCAGTTGCAATGTATGGTTGTGAAAGTTGGACTATAAGGAAGGTGGAGCACCAAAGAATTGAGGCCTTTGAACTATGGTGCTGGAGAAGACTCCTGCGAGTCCCTTGGACTGCAAGGTGATCAACTCTGTTATTCTATTCTATTCTATTCTATTCTATTCTATTCTATTCTATTCTATTCTATTCTATTCTATTCTATTCTATTCTATTCTATTCCTATTCCTATTCCTATTCCTATTCCCATTCCATTCCTTATATTCTATTTTCTGTTCTATTCCATTCCATTCCATTCCTTATATTCTATTTTCTATTCTGTTCCGTTCCGTTCCGTTCCGTTCCGTTCCGTTCTGTTCCGTTCCGTTCCATTCCGTTCCATTCCATTCCATTCCATTTTTAAAAAGAAGAATTGCCAAATTTCATTTTTTTCAAAACTGATTCAGTTTAACAGACAATCAAGTCACAAAAAAATATTTTGAAAAACATGGGTTGGCGATAGAACATTAAAAGCAAGCCTGTTTGAGTTTGGAATTATTTTTCCACATTACAACTATAGAGCAGGTGGAATTCTTTGGAGAATGCAAGGTGATTTATTAGGATTTCTCAGTCCAGGTGGAGAGTGTAATTGGTGGCATTCTTATTAGTACTGGTATTACTATTGACATTATTATTATTTCATTCCTCCTTGACTAATTCAGAAATGGGAACTGAATCAAGTTGTAGAGCTGCTCTGAAGAAAGGATGGTTGTTTTTTTTTTTGGTTGTTGTTTAGCTTCCTCTCACTGTAGCAATTGTCCCACTGGCCTTCCTGCATAATATATATGTCCTCTGGTTTGAGGCTGCTGATTTGCAGATACAGCTGGCTTTTGGCATCATCCCTGGAGGTGGTGAAGCGTCCCTTCACTTTGTCTGAGTAGTAAATACCACTGGAATCAGTATATATCCATACAAACCATTCCAGGCCTTTTCCTGGGTACTGTCTCACCCAGTGTAGCTACTAAAGGTGAATTCAGAGGCTTGGCAGGAGACACGGAGGGACTGCCCAGGTCTTCTCACATCCCCTTCAGACTCCACCAACTGGCCTCAGATTGGACACCTAAAATGAAAGATATTTAGAATAGAATAGAATAAAAGAGTTGGAAGGGACCTTGGAGGTCTTCTAGTCCAACCCCCTGCGTAGGCAGGAAACCCTACACCACTTCAGACAAATGGTTATCCAACATCTTCTTAAAAACCTCCAGTGTTGGAGCATTCACAACTTCTGGAGGCAAGTTCTTCCACTGATTAATTGTTCTGTCAGGAAATTTCTCTTTATTTCTAAGTTGCTTCTTTCCATGATTAGTTTCCACCCATTGCTTCTTGTCCTGCCCTCGGGTGCTTTGGAGAATATTTTCCCCCCTCTGAGTTAATAGGAGAGGTTTAGTTTACGGTCAGTAAAACATATATTATTTATTTATTTATTTTTTATTTATTTATTTTTATATGCCGCCCTTCTCCAGAGACTCAGGGTGGCTTACAATGCGTTAAGCAATAGCCTTCATACTTTTGTATATTTTATACAAAGTCAGCTTATTGCCCCCACAAACTGGGTCCTCATTTTACCCATCTTAGAAAGGATGGAAGGCTGAGTCGACCTTGAGCCTGGTGAGAATTGAACTCGCAGTAATTGCAGGCAGCTGGATGTTAAATGCTGCCTTAGTGGGAGGCATTAGCCTCCTACGCCACTCAGGCTCTTTTTGGGACATGGTGGCTCAGTGACTAAGACGCTGAGCTTGTCAATAGAAAGGTCGGCAGTTCAGCAATTTGAATCCCTAGTGCCGTGTAATGGGGTGAGCTCCCGTTACTTGTCCCAGCTTCTGCCAACCTAGCAGTTCGGAAACACATTAAAAAATGCAAGTAGAAAAATAGGGACCACCTTTGGTGGGAAGGTAACAGTGTTCTGTGCGCCTTTGGCATTTAGTCATGCCAGCCACATGACCACAGAGACGTCTTCGGACAGTGCTGACTCTTCAGCTTTGAAATGGAGATGAGCACCGCCCCCTAGAGTCGGGAACGACTAGCACATATGTGCGAGGGAAATCTTTACCTTTACCTTTACTTTAAGTAAAACAAAGACTTGAAAAACTATTCAAGGTAACAGAGCATGGAGTTGCCTAAGATCTTGTTTAAGGAAAATCATTAGAGACAGGATACAAAAGGCAAGCAAATCTGAGTTAGGAAGATTTTTTTTTTATTAAACATTTTTTTTGATATGAACAAACAAACAAACAACAACAAAACACACAAACAAATAAACAAAAATCCATCTTTACATCTTCTTTTCAACATGTCACATCAGTAGTCTATATCCATATTTTCTCTTTCTTACTTTAACTTATCCCTTATACCTATATTCCTAATATATCATCTATATGTGTCTCTTAATCTACATATTTATTTATTTATTTATTTATTTATTTATTTATTTATTTATTTATTTATTTATTTATTAAATTTATATACAGCCCTATTCCTGAGGGACTCAGGGCGGTGAACAGCGAACGATAAAAAATACATGTAATACAAATGTTAATTAAACAAAAACCAATTAAAATATACTAAAAACTCTGGTCCTAGATAATTCAAGACATCCCAGTTTAAAATAAAATCGAAAGCGATATAAAGGGAAAGTTAGGCCAGGCCGGCCTGCTGAAACAGGAATGTTTTGAGGGCACGGCGGAAAGTGCGCAGATCTGGAATCTTCTGTATCTCTGGGGGGAGCTCGTTCCAGATGGTGGGTGCCCCCACAGAAAAGGCTCTTCCCCTGGGGGCCGCCAGTTGACACTGTTTGGCTGACGGCACCCTGAGAAGCCCCTCTCTATGGGAGCGTACTGGGCGGTGAGAGGCTATTGGTGGCAGAAGGCGGTCTCGTAAGTACCCCGGTCCTAAGCCATGGAGCGCTCTAAAGGTGGTAACTAAGACCTTGAAGCGCACCCGGAAGACCACAGGGAGCCAGTGCAGCTCGCGCAGGAGGGGAGCCACCATCAAACCATATTTGATTTACTATTAACATAAATTCTTAACCTTTATTTCTTTATTGGAAGCAGCCAATATATTAAATGGTCACTAAACCTTGAAAAATGATTGATAAGTCAGAGTAGTTGGGTCCACCCTGTCGAAGCGTGAATCAGCCTCGTTCCCCCCCTGGGGAAACTGTAATTAATTAGAGATGAATGGATCTTGTTTTCCATGGTGTATACTCTCAAAGAAAGAAAACCCGAATGTATTCTAAGAAACATTTTATTATAAAAGTAAAAAACTAACTAACTACATTTTACCAGTAGCTGTATCTCATAGACGGACAAAGGAAGAAGTAAGTCAGGAAATTAGAAAAGAAAAGAATGTAGACATGCGCAGTAGCTTCAAAAATCACAAGACAGTCTTATCTCTGTTGATAATGTTCTCTGGTAGGCTACCGTATTGTTCAGAATGGAAGCTCAACTGGCAAATACAAATAACGCAGTGACACACCCAACTCACAAAGTCAATCTCAAATCATATTTTGACAAATTAAGGTACTGTTGACCTCACCCCATTCCTAAGAGGTCTATAAGGGGTGTGCATAAGTGCACCAGCATGCCTACCGTCCCTGTCCTAATATTCCTTTTTACTCTTACTCTTTTCATGTATTCAAATTGTGTTTATACTTGTACCTGTTATCTTATATATGCTTGACAAATAAACTTATGATTATGATTATGATATAGGAGGGTATGATTTTAAACATATTAAATTTTTCAAATGTTTGTGGGTTTTTTCTCTCTCTCTCTCTCTCTCTCTCTCTCTCTCTCTCCATGTTTATGTGTTTGCTGAAAGAGAGAGAGAGAGAGAGAGAGAGAGAGAGAGAGAGAGAGAGAGAGAGAGAGAGAGAGAGAGAGAGAGAGAGAGAGAGATACTAATACATGCACACAAAGGTGGAAGGCAGATCTGAGGACTGAACTACAAATCCAATAAAATACTAAAAGGTTCCAACTAAGGAATACAATTTTGCATCTGTAAAGATTTTTGGGAGCACTTTGCCATGTCTGTCCTCCAGGAGGTCTCTCTCTCTCTCTCTCTCTCCCCCCTCACTATTCACTTTATTTTCTTCCTCTTCAATTTGAAAACAACCCCCAAAGAACTGATATCAACATCAGCCCCTTCTTTTAGGCAATCAGACAGCTTCCTCAGACTCCTCATATTGAAAAATGCAGCCCTATTCTGAGTGTGAATGGACTTGCAGAGCTACTTTGATGAGTGGTAGGTTTTTGCCAAGCTTCAGATTCACTTCCTCTCACTGTGTCTCTCTTGCACAGTAATAGACGGCCGTGTCTTCAGCTTTGAGGCTGTTCATTTGCAGATACATCTGGCTTTTGGAATTGTCCCTGGAGACGGTGAAGCGGCCTTTCACTTTGTCTGAGTAGAGAATAGTACTGGAAGGGTAATTTATATATGCCACCCATTCCAGGCCTTTCCCTGGAGCCTGTCTCACCCAGTGCATGTAGGCATTACTGAAGGTGAATCCAGAACCTTGGCAGGAGAGACGGAGGGACTCTCCAGGTCTTCTCACATCCCCTCCAGATTCCACCAACTGGGCCTGAGATCGAACACCTAAAATGAAGGCAGTTTCAGTCAAGTCTGCTGTATACAAGAATTAAAAGGAAAATAATCTGAATAATCAAGAAAGAATTACCTCTGAGGACCGCTAGAAAGGACACCAAATTTAGCCACAGGAACATCATTGCTCCCTCTAATGAATGGAGCGTAATTGATAGGAAAGGATTCTGCCAAATGCACAAACTTTGTGTCGGTGGGTGTTGCCTGAAGAGGGAAACCACGAGCTTTAAAGAGGAGATTGTGCCTCGATTTACATATCACTTGGGATAAAAGGGCCCCCCGGGGCACTCACTTATAGTTTATTTGTGTAGACTTTACACACATGATATAGAATAGAATACACTAGAATACACTAGAATACACTAGAACAGAACAGAACAGAACAGAACAGAACAGAACAGAACAGAACAGAACAGAACAGAACAGAATAGAATAGAATAGAATAGAACAGAATTCTTTATTGGCCAAGTGTGATTGGACACACAAGGAATTTGTCTTAGGTGCATATGCTCTCGGTGTACATAAGGAGAATAAAATACATTCATCAAGAATAAAAAGATACAACACTTAGTGACAGTCAAGGTTACTAAAAAGCTATCAAATCGTACTAGGAAACAAATAAAAACAATATAATTGAAAGATGAGCCTTGGTAGTACAGTGATCTAAAGCACCCTGTTATTAAGACCAGCTGCCTGCAATTACTGCAGGTTCGAATCTCACCAAGGCTCAAGGTTGACTCAGCCTTCCATCCTTTCTAAGGTAGGTAAATTGAGGACCCAGGTGTGGGGGCAATAAGCTGACTTTGTATAAATATACAAAAGGATGAAGGCTATTGCTTAACGCATTGTAAGCCGCCCTGAGTCTCCGGAGAAGGGTGGCATATAAATCAAATTAAAAAAAAAAAAGATACAAGCAACATGGTTATAGTAATAAGTGGGAAGAGATAGATACTAGTAAGGAAGAGAAGAATCATAGCAATACAATCTTAGTAAGTAGTTTGGGGAAAAACTGTCCTTGTGTCTAGTTGTTTTGGTGTGCAGTTTTGGTGTTTTGGTATAGTGTCTTTTTGAGGGTAGAAGGTGAAACAATTTATGTCCAGGATGTGAGGGGTCTGTAGATATTTTCACAGCCTTTTTCAAATAATTTTCAAATAATGTTAAGTAATAAGCAGTGTCCTCTGATTTCAAGTTGTTCCTTTGCTAATAGAATTGCTTTTTGGAGATGGTGAAACATCTTTCCATTTATCCATGTATTGAATAATATAAGAACCTTGATTTTTGCCATCTATTGCAGCCCCTTTTAAGGTGCCTCCCTCATCCGTTTCCTGTAAAAGATGTGGAAGCTAATTGAAAGGCAAGACAGGAGAAATGGAGGAATTCCCCAGGCCTTCTCACAGGCCCTTCAGACCCCACCAGCTGGACCTCTGACCGGACTCCTAGAAGAAAGGAGCCTGGTTTAACTCAACAGGCAGAAGCACTGTAATTTAACACTGTCTGCAATGGTACTACAGTAAAGCAGTTATTAACAGCTGCCTGCAATTTACTGCTTCGAATCTCTCCAGGCTCAAGGTTGACTCAGCCTTCCATCCTTTCTAAGGTAGGTTAAATTGAGGACCCAGTTTGTGGGGGCAATAAGCTGACTTTGTATAAATATATAAAAGTATGAAGGCTATTGCTTAACGCACTGTAAGCCGCCCTGAGTCTCCAGAGAAGGGCGGCATATAAATCAAATTTAAAAAAAAAAGAAAGAAAGAAAGAAAGAAAGAAAGAAAGAAAGAAAGAAAGAAAGAAAGAAAGAAAGAAAGAAAGAAAGGGGCTTGACTGAAATATCCTGTATACAAGAAGAATAAGTGGAAAGAAACTCTTTAGAGAGGGAAGAAGTGTCTCTGAGGACTGCTAGTAAGGAGATGAGGTTTCACTCTTAAAAGACCATCTTTTCTCCCTCTAATGAATTGAGGGGAATTGACAGGAAAGGATTCCAGATAGGAAAAGTGTTTTTTTTTTTAAAAAAATAATAATTTAAACAATAGAGAAACTGATAAAAAGAGGATTCAGGAAAGTATCCAAACTTTGGGTTGGGGCTCCTTCAAAGAAGAAATTGTGTCTTGATTTTAAAAAGCCATCTTGTGTGTGTGTGTGTTGTGTGTATGTGTCTACATACATAATACATACATACATACATACATACATACATACATATAACAGTGGTGGGTTGCTCCCAGTTCTGTCAGGTTCTATAGAATCATTAGTAAAACTGGTGGGAGGCTCCGCCCACCTGCCACCATATCATCATGGGTGATCTGCGCATGTGCAGAAGCGTGTGCGTGAGTGAAGTGAGGTTGTGCATGCATACTCCCGCAGTGAACCGGTAGTAAAGGTAAGTAGAACCCACCCTGATACATACATATACATTCATATATATATATGAAATGATGCAAACAATGCAAAAAGTTAAGAACAGTCAAGCTTCAGCTTTTTCCTTTTAAATTTATTGTGCATACAAAGGGCTTTATCTTAAATTAGGTAAGAGACAAACTTGGTTTAAGATGACGGAAAGTGGTTCTAAGTAGCACAGAGAAAGCATAGACTAATAATTTTTGAAACAGACATGTTAGAGATAGAATTAAACATCCCCTCCAAACTCAAATTGAGTTGAAATTGGACTCATATATACATATGTATGTATATGTAGGAAGGTAGGTAGATATATGTATATGTATGCGCAAACACACACACACACACATAAATAAGATAAAGGTTCCCCTCGCACATATGTGCTAATCGTTCCCGACTCTAGAGGGCAGTGCTCATCTCCGTTTCAAAACCGAAGAGCCAGCGCTGTCCGAAGATGTCTCTGTGGTCATGTGGCTGGCATGACTAAATGCCAAAGGCGCATGGAACGCTGTTACCTTCCCACCAAAGGTGGTCCCTATTTTTTCTACTTGCATTTTTTACATGCTTTCAAACTGCTAGGTTGGCAGAAGCTGGGACAAGTAACGGGAGCTCACCCCATTGTGTGGCGCTAGGGATTCGAATCGCCGAACTGCTGATCTTTCTGATCGACAAGCTCAGCATCCTAGCCACTGTGTTCCTATATAGACATAGACATGGACATAGACATGGACATAGACATAGACATAGACATAGACATAGACATAGACATAGACATAGACATAGACATAGATAAGATATCTTCCATGCAAGAACAGATCTAAATTCTATGTAGCGGATCTAATTAACTTATTAGAGATAAGAAAAGTAAATGGAAAACCTAAATGCATAAGTAGTTTTGGGCAGATAATTTGACTGACAGGTCAAAAAAGCCTTGATAGTACAGTGGTTTAGCAAGAAGAGCCTTGATAGTACAGTGGTTTAGTGCACCCTGTTATTAACACAGCTGCCTGCAATTTCTGCTGGTTCGAATCTCTCCAAGGCTCAAGGTTGACTCAGCCTTCCATCCTTTCTAAGGTAGGTGAAATGAGGACCCAGTTTGTGGGGGCAATAAGCTGACTTTGTATAAAATATACAAAAGAATGAAGGCTATTGCTTAACGCATTGTAAGCCACCCTGAGTCTCCGGAGAAGGGCCGCATATAAATCAAATAAAAAAAAAAAAAGCAGTTCCTGAAATGACAGAATCCTAGGAATTCAAAGAAATTTATATGGGGGGAAAGAGTACAAAGAAATGTGGGAGAGTGAAATGAGAGAGAGAGAGAGTTCAGGAATGAATGGATTAAATGATAGTTCAGAGAAAAACCATTCAGGGAGCCCCACGAATCACTTCTGGGGCATATGGTCAGTTGGCCACCTTTACCGGATGTCTGGTATTGTTCCTAGGGAAAGAATGAATGAAGGTTGAATAGCAAAAGGAAGACCTGGAAAAAGGAATTCCAATGACTGAAGCTATATTTTTATTGGAAAAAATATTTTTTTTACAGAGCTTCTCTGAAGAAAAGAAGGTTTTTGTCTGGCTTCAGATTCACTTCCCCTCACTGTGTCCCTTGTACAATAATAGACTGCCGTGTCCTCTAGTTTGAGGCTGTTCATTAGCAGATACAGCTGGCTTTTGGCATTGTCCCTGGAGATGGTGAAGCATCCCTTCACTTTGTCTGAGTAGTAAATAACATTGGAAGTGGGATTTATTAATCCCACTCATTCTAGGCCTTTCCCAGGAGCCTGTCTCACCCAGAGCACATGGTAGCTGCTGAAGGGGAATCCAGAGGCTTGGCAGGAGATACGGAGGGACCCTCCAGGTCTTCTCACATCCCTGCCAGACTCTACTTGAGATCGGACTCCTAAAAATACAAAAAACAGAAAAATGAGACATCCTGCTTATAACAACAGATCTAAAGTCCATATAAAGGTAAAGGTTCCCCTCGCACATATGTGCAAGTCGTTCCCGACTCTAGGGGGCGGTGCTCATCTCCGTTTCAAATTCGAAGAGCCAGCACTGTCCGAAGACGTCTCCGTGGTCATGTGGCCGGCATGACTAAACGCCAAAGGCACACGGAACACTGTTACTTTCCCACCAAAAGTGGTCCCTATTTTTCTACTTGCATTTTTTACGTGCTTTCGAACTGCTAGGATGGCAGAAGCTGGGACAAGTCACGGGAGCTCACCCTGTTACGCAGCAGTAGAGATTCAAACGGCTGAACTGCCGACCTTTCGATCGACAAGGTCAACATCTTAGCCACTGAGCCACCGCATCCCTCAAAAAGTCTATATGGAGTGTGTGTGAATTACCTCTGAGGATTACTAGTATGGACACCAAGTTTAGCCACATTTGTGCTTCCTCTGTTAAATGAAGGGGATTGATAGGAGAGGATTCAAGAAAGTGGAATGATTTTGTGTCCATGGGAGTTGCCTGGGGCTCCTTTAAAGAGGAAATTGTGCCTCACTTTACATATTGCTTTGGTTAAAAAGCCCATCTGTGTATTGATTTCTTTGCATATAATGTACACAGGTGATTTAGAAATACCACTCCAGTCCTCAGAAAAGTGGGGGGAAAGCTCTTCTCTTTCTGTGAGTTAATATGAGAAAGGGCTCATTTACACTAGAGTAGCTAAAACAAAGAATCCCCCATTTCTCAAAAGTGATTCAAATGTTAACAAATCATAAAGACTAACAATTAGAATCTTGGAGCCCCTTATTATTATTATTTTTTGCTGTAATTTACTAGAACA